TTCGCCTAGACAATTGCACTGTATAGTGGGCGAATTTAGCCTAAAGGAAAGCAAGTTTACTTGTGACTTGGAGACAAAACTTTCTTTTGTCCTAACTATAAATTCTTCCTCTTATTCTTTGAGCTAGTGCAGACATTGTTGTCCACTATTCTTGAAGTAGAATTCCAACAAGGTATCTGTAAAATAATTTCAGGTGAGGCAGTAGTACACGCTTAGACCTTATCAGCAAGTATGCCAACCTGAAGTTGTTCTTAAAGAGCTTTTTGTAACAATAATTACAACGGAGAAAATCATGCCTCCAAGTCAGCGAACAAGACTACAATGACTCATCCAAGTCCCTTTGAATATATTCCTGCAATTGGTTCATCAAGAGACGATCCTCTCATATTCAACTTATCGCAGAGAAACTCAGTGGAAAGAGTTACAGAATGGACTCAGTCAGCAAACTTGTCAATGGATGGCAAAGGAACATTGAGTAGTATTATAGCAGGACAAAGCAACCTCCACTTATCAGAGGTTTCAGCAATTCAGAAATGTTGAGCTGAGATCCCCAATGGTGATTTCATTCGTACATCGATCACATGAGATCAAATATTGGAAAAGCATATATGTTACTCCGCAGCCATAGAATTGTAGCCTTCTACTTGGTATGCCCCAAAGTCTTTGAGATCAAGACCTGTCAATGGCACCTGAGTCACAGCAAAATGACAGATTATACTCTTGAGCTCTTGGCACTTAGTCACGTATTAAACTTAAGCTGCATTCTTTCAGGCCGAGATGCCAACCAGGATGAATCAGGGCGGAATTTTTAACAACCAACTATTACCTTGTACAAGGGAAATCTGTGCCGATCCAACAAGAGGAAGTTGGATGTAAGGCAATGCTCAAAATCAAGCAGCGCCTACAACTGAGTGTTCCAGAATCATGCACTCTTGAATTACTTGGAGACCAGATATGAACCATGAAACTACAAAAACTCAGGGGACCGAAAACAGGATTGTCCAAGGTGGGAGCAGTGGGAAAATCGGGCCGCACCAAAGACATTATCCCTTGGGACTTCCATGGAGGAAAGTCAGCAGATTGGGGCTGGCTCTGAAGACATATTTATTGGAACAAAAGCAACAATCAAAAAGAGTTCCATTCGTAACTTACGGATTCAGCCCAAATCACCTTGACAGCAATCAATGAAATAAACATTTATGTTCCTGCAACTAACATACAGTATTTTCAAATCAGATTCTATGAAATAAGAATCTCTAAAAGAAACCAATCCCAAACCAAAACTTCTACAAAGCTCTCGAAATTTTCCGACCATGTAGGGGGCATTTGATGGTGATTATCGGCTACATACACGAAATCCATCATTTAAGCATAAGCTACGTATCTGTGGTCATTTGCATTACAGAAGAAACTAATGCACTGAAGTCAAAAGCAATAACCTGATTCGATGGCAGATAGCACTCCTTAAGTGTAAATTTAGACTACCGGGAAAATCAAAAGCTATAACCTGATTGACTCCCAGTCTGCTACACCCTATTAATTGCATGCATAATTTGAATCCTTTTGCACACATTTTGTTACCAAATCAAATTTGTTTCTATTATAATTTGTGAAATCTGTTAAACGATACAGGGTCAGATATAGCTTCACACACTTTACAATGGTTCAAATTTGTTACTATTACAATTTGTGAAATTTGTTAAACTTTACAGGACTAGATATAGCTTCACACACTTTATGATAGTCCGCCTAAGACTGACATTAGTAATTTTTAATACTCTTCTATCCCAGAAAAATAATTTAATTTTTTGTATTGTGTTAGCGGTCAATTATTTTTTGAGGGGAGGGAGTTGGAGTATTTTCAACAACCGAATCAACTGCAGTAGTAAGGCTGGTCATTTTGACCCACGGTTCGGGTCGAACCGATGATTCAAACCAAACTGACATGAAACCGATCCAAAAATTTAATTTCAGTTCGGTTCGATTCGGATCAATTATTTGAAAGAGTAGAATAATTCGGATCGGTTCGGGTTAAGTAAATATCCAAATTGAACCGAATTAATTTAAACAAAAAAACACAATAAATTTTAATATTTTCCGACGATGACCGTCACCGACCGCTGTTGACCGCCACTGACCGCCGCCAACGACAACTTCTAGCCAAAAATTCCGGCGACGTCGCCGTCAAATTGATTTTTCTGGCAAAAAATTTCGACAATATTGCCGGAAAATCGATTTTCCCGGCGGCTGGTGACCAGTGCCGGCAAGATGACATCATCGTAATATTTTGATGACATCATCGGATACAAAATGGTTCTTTTTGGGTCAATTCGGTTCAGACCTGAGATTTACCTCGAATCGATCCGAACCGAACCATAGTAATCCAAAAGAAAGTTGCCTCATTTCTGAATCGATCCAAACTAACGGTTTGGTTCGGGTTCGGTTCGGTTCGGGACAGTTTCATGTAAAAGAACACCCCTATGCAGTAGTATTGCCAGCTTCAGCCATCCTTTTCTCAAAAGTTTCTTCTAAAAAATTAATGTTTGGCGCGTACACAGAAATTGTGAAAGCAAAACAAAGACAAATAGTACTAACAAACTATCAAGTACAAAGAGCTATTGATTAAACATTTTTTAAGTCAACTCCTCAAATTTGGGTGCTGGAATTAAACAAATGATTAAGGTTTGCTGGCACTAATATTACAATTTGATCTATAAATTATAGGCAAAATTTGCCAGACGTGACTCAGTTTGCTACACCCCGTAAAGTGCATGCATAATATAAATAAATCCTTTTACACACATTTTGTTACCACAATTTTCCATCAATTTGTTGATCGAAATCAAATTTGTTACTTTAAAATTTGTAAAATTTGTTAAACGTTACATGCCAAATAGCTTCACTCACTTCATGACGGAGCGTCCAAGTTCAATATTAGTCATTGTTAATGCCCTCTATCCCTTGAAGATAATTTAATTTGTTGTATTTTATTAATTCGCTAGGGTGAGCTATTTTTTGGGGGGAGGGAGATGGAATATTTTTCAAACTAATTTGTTATTGGTGAACAACTCTTAGAATAGCTGCAACACTAAGACCGTCTATGCCAAAATGTTAGTGAATTAAGCATTTACCTCCTTTATTATACGGAAAAAAAAAAAAAGAAGAAGAAGAAACAGTTGCAACGCTGACTGAAAGCGTAGTTTTGTACTTGGATCCAGATTATGTGTCTTGTTTTTTCCCTTCCTCTATTCGAAATGATGCAATTGAAATTTTTTAATGGGTGATAGGGGTATAAGACAATTAAGAGAAACATTAGGGCTGAATCAGTAATTAGAATTTTCTTGGTTAGAATATAGGGTTTTGACCATCTACTGTTCAGGGAAAAATTGGCCGATTTACCCAAAGGTTGACATGCGTTGTCAATTCTACCCTATTTTTTTTATTAGCCATTATTACCCTTTAGCCGATTTTGTCCAATTGGCCAATTTCCGTTTAAATTAACGGAATTCTGTTAGTTTTAATTATAAAAAATACCCTAATAGTTTTGAAAATTATAAAAACGACTCTAATCATTTGTAAAAATAACCAAACAGTCTTTTTACCCTTTTTATTTAATTTTTTCTGTTTTCTATTTATTTTTATTATTTCTCATAACTATAAAAATATATTATATGATCTTTTACAAAAAAAGCTATTTATTTTTAAACACTACTGTGCAAATTTATAGATATGTATATTTGGAACTCATGGTTGATTTACATAAACATGTTAATTTTTTAATAATATAACTTGACAATAATGATATTAGTTTTTTTAATCCTTTTTTCAATTTAAAGAATAATATTTTTTTGACTAAAAACTAATTTTTTACAAAAAAGTAAAACATTTAGCATAGATTAAAAATTAATATATTAGTACATTTTAATTTATTACAAATTGAATAAACAAATTATAGATTGTATTATCCAATTCAAAAAATTACTAAACTAAAATATAGTGTACAATCTAGTGTTTAGGGTGTTGAGTTTCATGATAGTAGATATAAGATTAATTCTCACCAAAGATTTTTAACTGGGAAAGTGATTTTATCCACATTTATGCATGGTTTACTAAAGGTGAGAGGGTTGAGTTGGATGGTCAGGTGATTTAAGATGGGAGATGATTATTACTGTGTTCGAGGCCTCAATTCTCACTGGGGCGATCTTTTTTTTTTTTAAGGTGGAGTCTAGTACTGGAGCAGATTTTTTTTATTATTATTAAAAAAAATTCCTGCTAAAGTTAGATGTTAATATCTCAAAAAAATTATCACGAAATGTTAAACTCGCGCAATGATAAATATACATATTTTTTATAAAATATTTTGTACCATTTTTTTTTACTTTCTATTTGTACTTGGCCTTTTAAAGAAAATATATATTTTAGTTTAATTATTTTTTTAATTTTACAATACAATCTAAATTCTATTGAATTTATTGTAATAATACATTCAAGTATACCAATAAAAAAATTTAATCTATGCTAAATGTTTTATTTTTTGTGCAAAATTAGGTTTAGTTAAATAATCTTATTTTTTAGATTAAAAAAATAATATCATTACTGTTAAATCATATTATTAAAAAATTAATATGTTTATGTAAATCAACTATGAGTTACGAATATGCATATCTATAAATTTGAGCAATAGTGTTTTAAAAATAAATAGCTTTTTTTTTAAAAGATTATATAATATATTTTTATAGTTATGAGAAATAGTGAAAAGAAATAGAAAACAGAAAAATTAAATAAAAAGTGAAAAAAGACTGTTTGGTTATTTTTACAAATATTTAGGGTTATTTTTATAATTTTCAAAACTATTAAGGTATTTTTATAATTAAAACTAACAGAATTCCTTTAATTTAAATTAAAATTGGCAAATTAGACAAAATCGATTGGATAGATTAGGGTAATATTGACTAACTAAAAAACAATAGCGTAAAATTGATATCGGCCAAATTTTTCACTGCTCACTTAAAACTTGAAAGCCTTCCAGTGATTTCCAGTGCCAATTTCGTCTTCTTCATCACCATGATAAAGAAGAATTAGAAGCTTTCATTTTTCAATTGTTTTGGTGTTCGATCTACCTGAATTACTATGGCTAATCGTTCTTCCTCTGAACCAGCTTGGAAAAAGTACTCCTTCCGCTTCCTAATCAGCCCTAACAATGAAGAGCAACTAAACAATTACTCCGGCAGCGGCAGCGGCGGCGGCAATTTCTTTGCTCTGGACTCATCACAGCCGCCATCTGAATCAGCCACCGTCATTGCCGATAACGAACACCTCCTATCTCAGATCCTCATCAAACTTCCCCCAAAACCCCTCCTCCGTTTTCAGTGTGTCTCCAAGGCATGGCTCTCCCTCATCTCTGACCCGGCTTTCCGCCGCCGCTGGTCTATTATCCGGAGAAACACCGGCGCCGTAAGTCTTCTCTTCTTTCCCTTTGGTGTCAAGGACATTGGTGTCATTTTTATTGGTTCGGAGGGTGCGGTTTCACCGGGTCTCTTTGATTCGAATCCGATGAAGGGTTTTATCAAGGATGAGATTGACGTTCATGTGCACAGTTGCAATGGGCTGTGGTGTATTCAACTTGGGCAGAGTTTTGAGCGCATTTCTATTGTTGTTTGCAACCGCACTTGGCAACACAGATAAATTCCCATTCCTCGCGGTACTCGCTGGCCAAAGCTTCGTTACTCTAATATAGCTTTTGATCCTCGAAATTCAGACCATTACAAACTTGTCTGTTGGGGTATAGACCGAATGGATTTCCGATTTATGGTCTATTCCTCAGAATCTGTGGAGTGGAAGATTACGGAGGATCATATTGGCAATGTTACTTGGGTAAATTATAGTTTTGAGAATGGAATTTTCTGGAATGGGGACCTGCATTTTATTGGACGTGGTATAATGTCAGGGATGTCTGTTATATGCTTTGATGTGGAAAATGAAAAGATCAGATCATCCATGCCTCCAATTCCCATCACCGTTAAGCATGTCTGTTATTTTGGGGAGGCAGGCGGGATTTGTGTATTGTGAGTTTGAGTGATCCCGAGGCATCATGTATCAAGTTTGATGTGTTTGCTCTGAAGAGGGATCACTCTGAGTGGTCTTTGAAGTATCGATTTGATGTTTCCCCTTTGATTGCTACATATCATGAAAGATTTCCATTTTGCGTTTCTTCCTTTATTGATAGAGGACAGAAAGCTATGATCATGATTTCATTGCCTGGGAAATTGGTTTCTTGTGATATTAGCAATATGGTAGTTGATGAACTCGTTGAATTTGAGGGCCGGCCGGAAAATTACATTTGGACTCATGTTTTCCAGCATGTGGAATCCCTTGCATTGGTCTGACCATCTGAGCGTCTTTGGATCTTGCTTGCAGAAAAAATTGAACATTTTCTTTTTGCTCTATCTGGAAGAAGCAAGGAGTTGTTGGAGATATGGAAGTTGGTAATCATCATTTGTAGTTCTTTTTGTTGCTAATATTGTGGTAGTTGGTAGTAGAGCTTTGCTAATATTATGTTAATATGTGGTAGAGTTATTTTAATTATGGTGATATGCAATAACTAGTTATTCCCTCTGGTGACCAGAAAGCTTCTTGCTGATAGTAATATTATGGTAGGGAGGTAGTGGAGCTATTTGGTACTTGGTGGTGACTCCCCATTGCTAATAGTAATATTATGGTAGGAGGTATTAGAGTTATTTAGTACTTAGTGTGTCTCCTTTTGTTTTGAAGCGTTCCGTGTTCGATATGGTTTGCTTATGAATGGGAAAAAGGAGTTATGGTTATGGATTTATCGTTTATTTTCTCTATTTGTCAATGTTAGTTCTCCTTTCTACTTTCTCCTTGTATTGACGGAATCTATGTACTCCCTCTGTTCCTTATTATAAGGCATTTTAATTTCGTCTTAGGTTTCATTTAGGATGTCTTTTTAATTCAAATAAAAATCTTAAAAATATTTCATAATAATTAGGAGAACACAACGAATGTGAAAATATATTTTTAAGATTTTTTTCAAATTAAAAAGATATCTTAGGTTAAACCTAAGACGAAATCAAAATACTTTATAATAAGGACCGGAGAGAGAGTATTAAACATCAATTGGATTGGTTTCTCTAATTTCCCGCAACAATGGACGTTTGATTAAGGAGGTGTTCTAAGATGCAAAACACAATAGGAATATTTGTGATTCGGAAAAATGTATAGAATTGCCGGCTTCACAACAGATTTCTGACCTGAAACATTGAGAAAAAAAACCAAGAACTTCACGCGGAACTCGTCTCGGAAGACAAGGCCACCACAGCAGCCCGATCAACGGTCTCGCTGAGATTCTGAAACCGGGGAACTCGTCTGGGAAGACAAGGCCACCGCAGCAGCCCGATCAACGGTCTCGCTGAGATTCTGAAACCGGGAAACACCGGCCTATCTCTGACCTTTTTCAATGCTGTCCAAGAGCCATTCATAATCGAAATCCCAAGTTTATTCGGTGTCAACAGTTGCAAATGGGGAAGGAAAGCTTTAAAGCAAAGAAATAGGAAAAAGGTACCCAAACATGAAGCCTACTGATTTTTTAAAACTTAAAAATATGTCTCCCGGCAAATTATGATCAAAACTGAAGAAAAAATTTCTGCAAAGCCACTCCAAATGCTGCGGGGAAAAATAAGAAGAAAATTTAAGCATAAGCTGCATTTATTCGATCATTGCATCATAGAAGAAATGGCTGCGAAGTGAAGATTACATACAAGCAACAATTAACTGCAAATCACAAAGACCTTTGAATAGCAACCAATCAGTTCTTTTGAGAATTGAGATTCTGTAACTTTCAATCACTTAGCTGCTTCAGATATTCATCATCAACAACAACTTCAAGGAGATCATTTCCATATTCTCTCTGTTCCTCGAATATTTTCCTGGCTGAATTTGAGGCTCGGCTGCACTCCCGCATCTCTATTTTCTTCAAGGTGGTAATGTAGCCCAAACCGGATGGAATCTCGAAAAGGAACTCACAGCTTTCAACTATCAGCTGTTCAAGGCAGGGGAATGGGTCATCGTCAACAGTCCATTCTTCAATGTCCAACCTCTGGAGTTCCAAGTACTTAAGCTTCAATAATTTGCCGTCTTCCACGTGCCATCTGTTTCCTGAAAATGCATCCCTTCTTAACTTGAGAACCTCCAGGTGAGGCAGCTCCTCAATTATTGATATTCCACTCCATGGCAGATTGCATTTCTTCAGTGTAAATTTTCTGAGACTATATGGAAAGTTAAAAGCTATAAACCGACTCCATTCCTCTCCATTTGATGTGTGTCTGCAGCCCATCACATTCAGGGATTCAAGATGAGTTAGGTGACTCATTTCTGGAAACCTTCCATTGTCAGAATTACTTACGAATGGAAAATAACACTTGAGCTTTCGAAGCCTGGGCAACCGTCTCAGTAGTTCTTGAGTTTCATTTCCCATTTGGAGAAATGGTGCTGCCAAAATTTCCAGCTGCTCTAGTTGACAGTATTCATAATCCTCAAGACCGTATGTTAAACGCCACCATGGAATACTTACATGCCTCAATTGTTTCATCCCCCAAAAGGTACTTGGTAATGAAAAATCTGGATCCCAATTGAACTTCAAAATTAAGACTTCCAGGTTCCACAGATTAGCAATGGATGGTAAAATTTTGGCCGTATCCAAGTGAATCCTTAGGTATCTCAACAGAACTAATAATGTTACTTCTTCAGGAAAACCACCAGGAATACTTATGTGCTCCAATTCCAACACATTAAGGCATTTAAAGCATTCAAAAATGGTTGAGGGACAGGAAACACATAGCTGACCTTTACGAGCAGCAACTAGAGAGTGTATGAATGGACTAGCAGTAATATCATCGACAAAACTGGTACATTGATCATCGGTGCACAGGTGACAATAGTTCCCATACTTTCTCGAACTCAAGGAAGAATGATTAGAAACTAAATCACTGTCATGAACCCAATGTGGAAAATCATCGTCTTCAATCTTTGCCAAACATAAATCACGCAGTATATCATGAACACGACATGCCTTGATTCCGCCCATGGAACTTCTCGCTTCAAAAATTATCAAACTTCGATTTATTAGATCAGACAAGTAATTCTCAGCAACTTTAAATAAGCTTATCCTTTTATCATTTCTTGGTATCAATCCTTCCGCAATCCACAAACTTATTAGCTTTCCAGCTCTAAGAACAGTATCCTCTGGAAATGCTCCAAAATAGAGGAAGCAAGGTTTCAAATTATCCGGCAAATGTTTGTAGCTCAGTTCAAGGGCATCCATGCACATTTCACTAACAACTTGTGAACTTGTACTACATTCAATTTGCTTCCAGAATTCTTTTCCCTTGCCTGCCAGGATACCTGCAATCAAAACCACTGATAGAGGCAATCCTTGGCAATTTTTGGCAACATTTTTAGCTATTTCGGAGAGTTCATCATCAAGAGGAGAAGTATGGATACGTGATAGCTTCCCTTTCAATATTTCCCAACTCTCCTCATCAGAGAGTGACCGAAGAGGATGAACACTGCAATTGATCAGATTGGCTTGTGCCATCAAATTCCGGATTCGGCTAGTAAATAAAATTCGACTCCCTATGTCGTCATCCGGAAATGATTGTTGTATGCACTTCCACGCTTCCAAGTTCCAAATGTCATCCAGAATAACTAGATATCTTTGTTGCCTTAGACATTTCCAAAGTTTTTCCGCCAAATCATCATCTGTACTGCCAGAGTAAGATTGACGAGCATTAACACCCATGACGTCAGTTAGAATGTCAAAGTACAACTCTCGACGCTTATACACTTGGGAAACACAGCACCATGCACGTCTATGGAAGTGATGTATGATCGACGGATCATTGTACACTTTTCGGGCTATGGTGGTCTTACCAAGCCCGGGCATACCTACAACAGAAACAATGTGAAGCCCTTTAGTTCCCCATATGAGTTTCTCATTTATTGCCATTAACTCATCTTTCAAATCCATGATATCATCCTCAAGCCTTGAAGTATTCGCTTGGTTTATGGGTACAAGACTAGAAATAGTTTCACTACTTGTTGTCAATCTCGTCTTGTACATCACATGATCACTATACCTCTTCACATCACCTTCAATGACCTTGATCTCCTCCATAACATCAGAAAGCCGCAAGATATCGTACCATATAGGATGATTCCTAACTAAACAGGAGCGGATGACGTGTTCTGCTGAGAACACATAAGAGATAATTCTTCTCCCAAGATATATGAGGTCTTCTCTTTCTGTTTGCAGCTCCACAATATATTTGAGGAACTGTTTAAAGGAGATGAATTTTTCTTGAACTATCATTACTTGATCTTTTGCAAAACCAATTTTAGTTGCCATTTCCTTCAGATTCTCTAGAAACAAATCAATGTATCCCATAGCATTTGTCCTTGGAAATTTGCAATCCAATGATTTAGAAAAAGAAGCATAAAAAAGCTCTCTAATCTCCAATTTCAGTTTGACAAACTCTACTTGGAGAATATAAATATCCACTACTTTTAATCCATCCTTGTCTAGTGAGAAGATTAGAGATATTACCTCATCCAGAACACAATTGACTCGTAACTGTAGAAGTCCATCTGCAACATCATCTCTTAGAGCTTCCTCTTCAGTTGGAGGATCCATGATGAAAGTTATCATGAATAACAAGTTTCCTTTGAGGATTTCAGCATATTCCTTCAAAAGATCAGCAGCTAAACCTTCTAGTAAAAAATCAACAAACCCGATAACCACTTCACTGATCTGGACCGTGTCAGATTTTGATGGCTTTGAAGCTCTCAAGAGTGTTAAAAACATTTTTACAACCTCAGGAGTGCAAAAAATAAACTTCTTCTGCTGCAGTGGATCAGGAAAAGCTGTTTCCAGTACCTGGGCCAAGGTAGGTTCACCCTTCCCTTGAAGCAAACACTGAAGGGAAAAACTTGCTGCACTCTGCACCCATTCCTTCTTTACATAATCCAAGAATCCTTCCAGCATAGTACGATCAACACATCTTTTTCCCAAAAAATCAACAAGGTTTCTCATGAAAATCAGCTTTTTCGGATGAACCAAGACTCGGATCTTAAAATTCACAAAGACATCAGGTTTCAAGTTGGCAAGATCCAGGAAATGCTCAACCAGAGCATCCATAACTCTCACAAGATCATCACTTGAGCAAGACATGGATTTGAGCGAATCCAAGAAAGCAACACATATTTTTCTAAACTTTGGCTGGAGTTGCTCAAACTTATTTGGGCTTGATACAAGAATATCCAAACCTTCCTCACCCATGGCATATATAGGAGAACCATAAAAATCTTGGTGAGAACTAAAATAAGCATTAATCATATCAAAATCTTCCAGAAGATGGTGAAAGCTAAAATAAGCATTAATCAAATCAAAATCTTTTTGGGCTTCCTTACACATGAGCAAGCAATCATGAAACCTCGTCAAGAATCTCAACTCCAACCGAAGTAGAACTTGAGGAAATCCAGATTGAATAACACTACCAGGTTCTTCAACAATGGAATCAGCTCCAATAGTACATCTAGCTTGATCCATCTTGTTTTGTGTGTTTCTTCAAAGTGATGTAAAGTTCTCCTATCTTATCTAGAGAAAACTTTCGTAGTTCAAATCAATATAAAGATTCCCCACCCTTGAAAAACAAAAAGTAACTTTAGCTTTTAGGTATGCATTGTTCTGATGCTAACATTTAAGAAAATTCCCTGAATGTCACAATTCATGGCGAAATCCGGCAAAATACATTCAAAATCAATCATTTAAACAAAAGGGATTCCTATTAACAGATTGGGGTTCGATTTTCTTATCAACACTGCATCATAAAGGCCACATTATGATTTTTTTTTTAAAAAAAAAAAAAAACCCCAGAAACACAAGAAAGTAAGAGAGGGGAAGCAATAGTAAAGGATATTATCAAAAGTGGAAGCTTTCAAAGAATACCGCGATTGAAGATGCTGATGATGACGATGACGATGAAGAATCGAATTTGAATGTCGTCATTCAATTTGTTCCAGAATTATGCTGCCATGTTTTCAAGTCCGGGAGGCTATTAAACCCCTAAAAATTTCCTTGAGCGCCCTAATATAATACTAAAAGATATTTTTACCTCTACATGATTTTATAAATTAAAAGTTTCAATTTCATTCTTTCAATTCCTAAATCAATCTTTCATTTCAAATTCTCTCAATCCAAATTCCCAAAAACTTAGATTCAATGGTTGAACGAATGAAACGGCTACAGAAAGAGCTACGGAAACTGAAGGTACGTAAATTTGAATTGTTTTTTTCAATTAGAATTATGTAGGATTATTTATAAAAAAAAAAAAAGAAAAGAAAAACCATCCCACCCCAGCCGTGCCCCTTTCTTCACCGCCGAAAGGGGGGGGGGGGCGAGAAATGTAGCCGCCTGGCGAGATTTACCGACGCCGGCATCGGCGCCTTATATTAATTTTTTATATTATTTATTTAACTTTAATTGTTATTTATGAATTGTATAGTAATTTTAATTTAATTGTTACTATTAGTAATTGTAAATCTTATGAAATTTAGTTTAATTATTTATTATTAGTTAAATTTATAATTTTATAGTTAAATGGTAGGAATTTATTTCTATTAGTTTAATTTATTTAGGAAACACTATTATTATTATTAGTTAAATTTATAATTTTATAGTTAAATGGTAGGAATTTATTTCTATTAGTTTAATTTATTTAGGAAACACTATTATTAAAAGTGTATGTTTAATCTTTAGTAAATAAATTAGTTATAATACTTTTGTAGTTTTAGGAATTCAATTGTAATTTTAGGGAGCTTAACGGTTTTTAAATTAATTTGGATTATTATGAAAGTTATTATAATTAATTTAATTATAGAAAATATATTTGTTGGATTAGTCGGTTTAATTGTAATTAGCCTCAAAAAAATATCAAATGTAGAAATTAAATAATTAGTATAGGAAGATTAAATAAATAAGTACAAATTAAAAAAAAACAAGAGGTTAGTAGATAATTAGAGTTAATAAAATATTTATTTCATTGTGGTTAAAATTAAATAATAAATTATATATTTATTTAATTTTGGTTAAAAAATGAAAAATAAAATATGTAGATATTATTAATTGTACTTAGTAGATTTAATAAATTGTACACTTAAGATGTATAGTAGATAATTTTATAATTAGGTATTTAAATAATATAAAACTGTATTAAAGTAATTAACCTAAGTTACGTGTAAAATTTAAAACTTTTGTAGGACGGGATATCGCCTCTCGAGAGATCTGGACATCGGCATGCAGTTACGCGCAATCTGTATGCAGAACATCGAGTAGAAAAAGAAAAAAACTTAAAGAAAGTGAAAAATGTACATCCTACGTTTGGCCCACTTGGTGAGTCAGCCAATGTAGACGATGATGATGATTTTGAGGGAGAGGAATCATCAGAGGATAGTTTTGAGAGTGGGGGGGACGATGTGGATGAGAAGGATGAGGCAGCCGAGTATTCCTCGCCTGAGAGGAGGGATATACATTTTGGAGGTAACTCAGTACTGAACCCCATTGGTCGTACTGATGATCAGACTCCAGTTCACCCTACCCGGGGGGAAGGGGGGGACCCTTGTTAGATTATCGGCCCTGAATTCATCTTACACTCCTGGTGGTTCCAATGTTCGTGTCGGCCCACAGAGTACTCTTTTTAGAGGTCCCAGTACTACTCTTCATCATGCCGGCCCGCAGAGTACTCTTTTTAGAGGTCCCCCTCTGACTAGTCAGACTCGTTCCCGTTTTGGTGGCGCATCCATTGGTGCCTTTAGCCGTCCTGAGGCAGCTGCATCGTCATCAGGTATGTATTTGTAACAATTTCAACAATCATTACTGCTTGGTCAATTTCTTAATTGCATTCGGTTAAGTATTTATACACTATTCTTTATTCGGGTTTCAGGTACTAACAGACGGTCTGAGGTTTCTACCGAAGAAACTGATGATTGGGTTGTGACGGACGACGTACCTGGCGGGCCATGTGATGGGTCAGTGATTCCTAGTTTTCTTGGCCACACTACTTATCAGTTATGGAATGGAGAACCAAGAGATTACCTGACGATAAAGCCAGCGAAGAAGAGTTTGTCTAGATTGCATGGATGGTATGCGAGGTTGCCAGAGAACGCACAGTTGCAGATTCAGAATACCGGTTTGTATCATCTGATTGATACCATGTATGATGACATTGATCTTGCGCTTATTTCTGCATTCATAGAGAGGTGGTAGCCCGACACAAACTCTTTCCACTTGCCGTTTGGGGAAATGACCATAATGATGCATGATGTGGCACACATTTTGGCGATTCCACTTGATGGTTACTTGTTGACCCAACCTCCGGAAGCTGAAATTTTGAAGATGCAGGTCGCGGGATTGCTTGGGATGCTGGTGGCTGAGTTAAAGCGTGCATGGAGCCACGGAAGTGTGAGCAAAATATTGATTGAGGAGTGTTGTCGCAGGGTCCTCCCCGCTGTTCAGGTGCAAGCTTGGGTGTGGACCTTGTTAGCCTTGACACTCTTCCTTGACAGGAGTGGAGGCAGGATCAGTGCTTCGCTTATGAACGAGCTGCACGGAGGTATCGAAAATATTGAAGCTTACTCCTGGGGATCCGGTACACTAGCATTCCTCTACCGTCAGTTTAGGATTGCTAGTCGAGCAGGGTGTACCACGATGGCTGGTTGTATGACCCTTCTCCAGGCATGGATATATGAGTATTTTCCATGCTTCCAGCCCTCCAAGAGGCGGGGACGTCGAGGTGTTGATGGTTGGCCCAGAGCCCGAGACTGGATACCAGTTAGCTATAAGGGCCCGAAGCCTATTCATAGTCGTCTCCAGCAGATTCATGCGAAACTCGATGCGATGACTGAGCAAGATGTAGTCTTTATATTTTATTTCTGTGTATTGCGTAAGGGGTATTTCATTGTATACACTATAATAAATGTTGGTAACATTCGCAGGTCGAATGGGAGCCATTTAGTCGCGAACAAGTGGCAGCATATCCGAGGACCATTTTCAGTGGGTGGATTATGTATCACGACTTTTAGGAGCCATACATGCCGGAGAGAGTGCTACGCCAGCTCGGTTACGTGCAGTACATACCTCGTGCGCCGCTCACGCCGGTCACTCAGTTTCGCGGGAAAATGCGCACAAGTATTTTGTTGAACGTCCGATTGCCGTGACCTATAACTGTTGGGTTAGATTTCCGGAGTCGGAGCGCATCAGCCTCAGTCATTGTGTGCCGGTATCGTCTACTGAAGTAGGACAAGCAGCTGTAGATTACCTCGACTGGTACAGGAGCCATTCACATCCATTCCTACTGTCGACGTCTGTACCGTCTACATCACGCATCCCGGTGAAGAACTGCATCACTTACGTAAGTTCAACTCTAACTGGAATTCCCTTTTTTTAATAACACACGTACTATCTTTAAGGGTTTAATATGGTTTTATTTAACATTTGTAGTGGATGCGTGAGATGGAGAGGTTGACTCGAGGTTGCATCGACAATTTGAAGAAACTCGATCTGGGTCTTGGTGAGGAGTGGGATACTCGCCTAGATGATGTCATCTTCCGTCACAGTCAAGCCCCATGACATTCTACTCAGTGTTTTTTTTTTAAACATTTATGTAACGATTTCGTTTTTGTGAACATTATGTGCTCAGTTTTGCGGGAAAAATGCGCACAAGTAAATGAAGGTTTTAAATAAAACAACATTGATGCAAGTGTATTAAAACCGCTCACAATATTAAACTGGCTTCATACCCGTAAAGGTTCCCGTACAGCCCAGGGTATTTATGACCTCATCATAACATATCTGTCTGCACAAAACATGATTATTTTGCCCTCCCAACATGCAACTCGCAAAGACGCGGAAACCACAATCGCCGTCAGGAGCGACATCAAGATATGACTGAACATGATTGTGGAGTATCTGCGGAATCTTATTCTTATGCCTAAACTGGAAAAAGTCTGTCTGCATCACATCTTTAACCACGTAAAATAATATCATTATTTCTGGATTACATATCAGTATTTAAGAATAATATAAATTATAATCGTACCTCTGACATTGGGTTCAGAACCCGACATGTGGCCTCTACTGGAACTGCTGGTGTTCGTCCCACCTTGCCCAATCCATGTACCTGCTCTCGCATGGGTCAGTAACAAAAGTGCTTGAATTAAACCAAGTAAAATAATACTTTGCATATTTAAAAAGATAAAGTAATATCGGACCTCTGCTCTGATCTTCAGCTCCCGACGTATGGCCTCTACTGGAACTGTGGGTGTTCATCCCACCTTGACCCGAGGGACCTTGGCTCGTACCTTCTTTACTGGAACCGCTGGTATTGGTGCCACCCTGACTGCCGTCCCTGTATGCCCAGACATTTGGTTTGTCTTGTTTTTTTTTTGAGATGCCTCTTTTCTTCGGCTTACCATTGCCTCTCTTTCCAACCCGCGGTTCATTTGATCCGGCTTGGCCCGGGTGAAGTTTGTTGTACATCAATCTGGTGATCTCGCGCTGTATTGGCTCCTCAGCAGCATCCAATTATTTCACTAACTGCCTGAACAACAATCTGTGAGGAGGAACATCATCCGAACTATCCTTCTCTGTAACCTCACCGATGTCAAGTGTGCTCCAAAATTGGTGTAAGTATTTTGGAGTCAAAATCTCGTTGGCCTCCATAATACGCTTAAGTATACATGCACAAGGGATGGAATAATTTTGCTTCAGGTAATGATTGCATTCCCAATACACATCATCTCCGAGTTGTTGTACCCTTTCCAACTCATTGTTCAATAGATCCAAGCAGTAGTGTGAAACATTGCATCTTAATTGGTAGAAAGGGTACTTGTTGTGTTGCCTCCCTAGTTTCTGTCTTGATTCTTGCAATTTCTCCCTATGGAGGAATTATAACAAATTAATTAAACAAACTAAACAAACAAATTAACTAAAAAGAGATCAAAATCCAGTACCTTATTTGCGTAAGCTGTGTCTCCAGTAACATGTGAACCATGTGCCAGATCGTTTCAAAAGAAGCATTTGCAGTGCCGAGCCATTCCTTTAACAACTTGTGTGCGCTCTCCACTCTACAAGTAGTGGTGTTGCCAATATGCAAATAAGTGTTGGTCCATGCATGCACAAACTTGTCTGCCACCACTAACCATGTCTTCCTAACATACTCTAGAACGGGCTGAAATTGGGACCAATTATGCTCTAGAAACTGTACTTTTTCTTCGTATTCTTCCCGATTTGCAGCTTCGATCACTGTTTTGAAGGCCTTGTACGCGAAACTTTTTGCTACATGGGCATTTCCGTTCAAAATTCTTTTCACGTTTTTTTCAACATCCATGTAAACGTGCCACGTACACAACAAGTAATGTGATCAGGGAAATACATCATCAAGAGGCCTCATCAGTCCAGGCTCCCGATCAGTCACGATGACACTCAGATGCAGATCATCGCCATACAAGTTACGTAGCTGCCACAGCGCCTAATGGTAGCTATCCCCCGTCTCATCACTCAGAAGAGCATATGCTATAAGGAAAGTCTGACTGCAAGGGTCATTCCAACAAACTCCACAAGAGGCATTTTATATTTGTTTGTGTAGTATGTGGAATCTACACAAACAACCCAAGGATACGTCTGCAACAGCAACAAAGAATCCGGATGTGCGAAAAACACGTGAGATAACCTCTGTGTCTCTTCATTGCACTCTGTGAAGATGATGTATTTGTGTTGTTCTGCAACCTCTAACACTTTTCCCACGACGTCCATGGCAGCCAGGTCATCTAGAATTGGAAACCCTCCTTACGCAATTGATTTCTGTAGTTGTAGACTTGTTTGGAGATAACCTTTTCATCAGGAAATTGTGTCCATATCGCCCGTAAAATGTAGACTGCCTTAGTCCCAACTTTAGAGTACTTCTTAATAAGCTCTTTCACTTCTGCGCTCAATGGCCTCCTGACTCGAGGTGGATCTTTCAATGAATGGTTGTGCATTCCCCACGGACCTGGATATACACGGATCGCCCACCTATCATATATCTTGTAAATAGTAACGCGAAACTGGCATCCGGTCATCTGTGTCTTTGTATTGACTCGGGCGTGCAAGTTTTCATCCACTTGTTGACCTTGGTACCGCCCTCCTTTATGACAAAGGAGTATAGTACTATTATCCTTGTGCGAGGATACACTTAACTCCATGTTGTATATATTCGCAATACCCTTCGCATATGCAACTACTTCCTTATTCGTGCCAAAAGTCTCGCCTTTAGCAAAAGCAGGACTATAATCGACTCCATCCCCCTGATCAAACCTATATGCATACATTAAAAACGAATTATATCATAACTTAAATTAACTCTAATAATATTAAACAAAAAATAATTTGTTATGAGCAAAAAATAAAATATATAATCCGATATATTGATCTTATGCTTTAAAGATAATTAATATATACTAATAACAAATTAGATACATTATTAACAAAAACTCATTATTTTAACAAAAACCCTAAACCCTAACACCTAAACCCTATAACCATTAACATACTACCTTAACACCCATTTAACAAGAAACAAACTATTTCATACGAACATACTACATAATTAACATAATTAAAACATATAACAATTTAAATACATTATTAACAAGAAATTAACTCATTTAATATAACAACTACAACCTATGAACAATATACGTAATTAAAAAACATTCTCTAAATATCATAAACCCTAATTAGCATAAACCCTAATTTTCTAAACAAATATTAAACTACCAAACAAATACTCAAATAAAATAAATACATGAATAATAAAAAAAATTAAACTAATAAATATTAAATATACTAAAAAACACTAAAAAAAATTATTAAATTAAAAAAAATGGGTGGCACCCAAACGGGCGCCACCCATCGGGTTGGCGAGCATCTCGCCAACCCGGACAAAGGTGCCCACCACCTTCGCCTATGGCGAAGGCCGTCTCGCCTCCCTTTACCAGCCGTTAATGGCTGGCGCGTTCTTCCCTCGCCCCTCCTCCCCTTTTTCGAAAAAAAAAACTTACCTCCATTTTGTAGGGACGTGTCGGTCTTTCGCGAGCGCTCAAATGAAATAATAAGGGCGCTCAACAGTTCGACCCTTCAAGTTTGTTGGGCTTTGGAAGATGTCTAAGTGTGGAAGATGTGAAGGCGTGACTACGGTGGCCTTCAAGAGTAACGCCTTTACTGGGCTTTATTTGTCAAATATTTGGAAGCGTTCTTTTGGCGGCTGGACAAAAATCAGTAACCAGATAAAGGCGCAAAAAGTTTTAAGTTCCACAAGCACGCTTTAAATTAAGGAATCCACGCCTTTTAGATTTGAAATATTTAAAACGGTTTTTTTTTTCTTTCTATAATTTCTAAAGCATGGACTTGGTGGAGGAGGAGGAGGAATGCGCCGCCACCACCACGGCGGCGACCGACTACCAGTCACGGCGGAGATTCTGCGAACGAGGCTGCGAGAGACCGGTAAACGTTTGCCTATGCGGCGTGATTCCGGAAACTCCTATCCCAACCGTAACCAAAGTCTTAATCTTGCACCACCCTCACGAGAAACGCCACAAGCTCGCCACCGTCCCCGTCCTCAAAAAATGCCTTGAAAGCTGTGAAATCATAGTCGGGAGAAAGTTGCGATACGGGGATTCAAAGGTTCTCGATTCTCTTTATGACATTGCAGCTCAAAACCCTGATTCGCCTCCTCGCGCTATTTATCTGTTCCCAGGTATGAGATGTCCTTTCCAGTTCTTGTTAATTTTAGCTTAATTTTTAATCAAAAAATTGGGTGCATTATTAGCTTAATTGTTAGTTTAATTTTCGTTTTTTATAGTTAATTGTATCTTGGGAGTGTTCTGTTTAGGCTGCAAATTCTGTACTTTGATTGCTTAGTGATTCCTTTATAATTTTGATACATTTTAGGAAAAGATGCATCACCATTAACAGAAATAAAAAACTGGAAGTCATCATCGGATGATGATATCGACACGAGGCATTTTGTGTTGATTGTTTTCGACGGAACATGGAAGCATGCCAAGGAGATGTTGCAAGCAAGTTCACTGTTTTTGTCCAAGTTTGCTGTTCAGGCGTGCTTAGAGTATGACGATAAAATTGACGGTGGAACGATATATGAATCTGATTTGACGCTTAGGAAGGAACCTTTCAGTGGGTGTATGAGTACGATGGAGGCTGTTGCACGATGTTTACGGCTCCTGGAGCCTAATGGAACTGAGGTAGAATCTAGGTTGATTGAAGTTTTGAGTACTATGGTTAAATTCCAGGCTTCTTATTTGATGAAGCCTATAAAACATAGACCTAGGTTACGGAAGAAATCAAAAGAAGATGCCGGGAATAGTGTAGTTTAGCTTATTGAGAGTTGCAGATTGAGCAGTTGAAGCTGAATCTGGATATTCTTATGTAATGCCTTCCCTTTGGTGCCCTAGCAGCAGCTAAGATTGACCTTTTGAAAGGATCTTAGTGATGGAATCCGAGAGTTGATTGAAATTGACAGTGTCTTATCGGGACTGCCTCAGAGGTGGTATTCAAGTCCAGTTTTGTTGAGTGAATGTATGGACACCTCGCCAAATGAGAAAAGAACCTGAGGGAACTCATGAGTGCAGGTCATGGGTTCATATTCGTTAGAATAGATTATGTAACTAAGTGAATTGAAGGGCCTTACTCTGTCCTAAGTGTCAATCTGACAGAAGAGCTGATAGATAAATTCTAGAGGTTAGTTCGTATAGATTTAACAATGTTACTGCACATTATTTACATGTAGTTCTCTTGTATTTCGGAACTTCCAGAGATGATTAATTTGCTGTGTGTTCGATTTAGACATAATGTAGAATACAAGTACCAAAAATTGGAACTCCTTTTTGGGTTCAAGCCAATGAATCATTGTACAATTTTTCCTTGTTGATTTTGGTGGAAGCTTTACAGTCTATTTTCAATCATGTATGTATGTACTTTTGTTTCTTACTTATGCGCCATGCCATTAGTACACAATATTGCCACTTTGAGTCTAAAGGTTGTAATAATTTTGCTTCTTTTATCCTTTTCGCATCTGCGTAGGGCTCCGTTGGATATGGCTGTGTGATTGATGGGCAGAAATGTAGGTGGACTGGTTCTTTTTTGTTGGAAAAAGAGGCATGTATTGCAGTTATCATGAAGTGGAGGGGTCACTTATTTCCTTTATGCTAGGCCTTCTTTTCATAGTTACTCTGTACTTGTAGGGTTGATCTCTAGTTTGGGTATGTAATATGTATATTCACTTGTTTTCCTCTGGAGAATCCTGAAGAAAAATATCAGGATTCGGTTAAATCATTTACCCCATAGCCATAGGTAGTAAGCCTTATGAAGAGTAATGATATTATGTGTAAGAATAAATTACTGGTATTGAAAAGAAAGTTATTACTAATATGAGTGAACTTGTAGGATCAAATGGTATTTAGAATATGATACTCTCACCATCACGAAAAATTACATACGAGTGAACTTGTAGGATCAAATGGTATTTAGAATATGATACTCTTTTCGTCATGAAAAAACTTCTATGAGACAGAGTGACAACATCTCATTGCAACAGAGTAAGGTTTGTTGTTTTTTGACGACAATGTTCTGAAATTGAAAAAAAAAAAAAAGTGGCAATAACATCTCATCCAAAGATAAGAGAATTATCAATAAACAGCTTAAAAAGTGAGGTAGAGGACTTCATTGAAAATGGCTAAAAGAAAGTGCCAAAGAGAAGAAGACATTGCAGAATTTCTAAATGGCTTGAACTTTGATCTGAGAAGTTGTTGGACCTTTGATGCTTGGACGGTGGTGGGGTATGTTTTGCGCAAGAAAACACCATCAAGAACACATGGCAAGCAAGTGCGAGAATGTTTGTCAACATCAACCAATAAAATGAGGTGGATTTCACTTCAATATAGGATTTTATACAAGTAAATTGTTTGTCAAGTAATGTTTTTCCCAACAAATATGAAATTTAAGTATTCAAAAAATAAAGTATGGAATGGGTTATTTGAGCCCCATAAATCAAAGTACATGTGGCATCTTTTGGTTCACAAATTTTCGGAAATTTGTCAATGGTGGGCTATAGAAAATCAACTAATCTCAAATATTTATAAAGGCGAAACGTAGAAAAAAAATTAGAAATGGATGTGAATAGCTTTTATTCCAATGATCATCAATATCTGTAGTTCGATTAGAGATCTTGTGCTCGTACTATCTACTAACAAGTATATATATAATATTCTGATATATGCCATTCTAGTTTGTTTATATGTGTTTTTTGTTTAAAAGCATTACCCAAATTAGTCTCCTTACTCTACATTTTCTTTGCAGTGACATTTCATCCAATATGGAATGAAGAACAAAATCAGATCGATGTTCTATAGCCTCTTAAAACAAAGAAATATTAATTCAAAAAAAAAAAATGAAAATTGTTAATCCGTTTGGACTTTGGACTTGGACGTACGTATATACTGTTGAACCAATTCACAAATTAGCGTATGGTAGTGGGGAAATGGGTAGCCCCCACAAATTGCCTCCCCACGTCGACTTATGGTGGGATTGGAAGAAACCAAAACATGTTGAAACATTAAATTAACTTATTTTTGTTGATAGCCTCATTAATACCACCATTGAAATTTACTTTTAACACAATGTTTTTGTGACAATTAAAAATACATCAAAATATCTGCGACTCGAAATATACATGCTTCATTTCAGTGTAAATATTGGCCTCCCACGCAAATTCTAGATCTTAGAAATAACCTCCACAGTTCTGTCCTATTTCAGTGTAAAAAATAACAATAACCTAAACCACCAATCCATCACAATTAACTTTTGCATAATTTCTCCTTTCCCCCCCTCTTTTTTGTATATATATAGTGAATTAATGGCTAAGACAAACTGTCACAAAACATGCATAAGCTAAGGCAGGGTATTGAGATCGTTTTTAAAGAGATAAATAAATAAAAGAAGAAGAAGAAGAACATAGTGCATGTGTAATCAAGTATTTGACTCTTCAACTGACTAAGGAAAACGTTAAAGTTTCCTAAATATTGTTCACATGTCACCTATACATATATATATATATTTCCTATTGTTCACATGTCACCTATACATATATATATATATATATGCTAATATTCTTTTTCATCGTATAGTGCCCACAATGAAAGAATAGTCGAGAAAGGTACGTAAATATGCATGGTTATTTGGTTTGTGGTGCAAGGAAAGAGGTTAATTAAGGACATTTTAATTTCAAAGCAGAATATCCATCTGATCATATTAGAAAAAATATACCTTATAAAAAGAATGAGAGGGAATACATAATTCTAGAGATAATGAGGACGGGAGATTTAAACATTATATTCGTACATTTGAATCGTGGATTACAATGTTAAAAGAGCTGAAATTATCACTTCTTTTTTTTTTAAAGATGAGCAATGAAATGGTATTCGTCATTGTTACATTGCTCTTGAATTTTTTTTAAAGATGAGCAATGAAATGGTATTCGTCATCGTTGATCATGTATGTTTTTTAATTTTTACTTTTTTTTTTTACATACAATACAATATACGTAGTGTATCATAGTGAAGATAGATTTTTTGGCTTGTTTTTTTTTTTTTTTTTGGGGGTCACTTCATCACCAAATCATCTTATTGCTAAACAGACAATAATTTTTATCATACACTCACTAATAAACAGATCAAGAATTTCTCATCTTACATGAACGAACTTAGTGGTAAAAATACACTTTTTAGTGCGTGCTTTTTCGGTGTTAATTAGGAAGTAAAAAAAGAGTTTTTTTGTGTGGTTTTTTTTTTTTTTTTGGTCTCATCCGTTTCTTGATTTTCTCATAATTATTGGTATATTTTTCTCATTTTTTACTACTATTCTATTTAGCGTCAAGATCTTCATATCCGTAATTCATAAGAATCCCTCTTCCCCCCTTTCTCTCTCTCTGTCGCCTCCTTTTCTTTCAATCTCTGGGGAAAAAAAAGTTTTTTCTTCATCTTCCCGAAATTGGAAAATGGAGGAGATAGTTTTTCTATCTTTTTAGTTTTTTTTCAATAACTGAATGAATTTAGTCTGTTCGCACATCCTTGATTTACTGGCATGTCTTATCCGTCAATTGATCTTGATCTGTAGTAAGTCAATAGATCTCATTTTATTGATCGTGATTTGGTCATTTTGTAATGTTATAGTTCATAGTTTATGTTCAAGAATTTGCTATCAAAGTAAATCTATGTTTTTGATTTACTTTTTGAGGCTTTCATCTGACGATAAGTAAAGTATTCGAGATTGCCAAGAATCGCAAAGTATTCGAGATTGCAAATATTTTTTGGTACATGATATTTCCAACAAGTGTTTGTGTGTACTAAAAGAGAGGTCATGATTTAGTCATCTGGAGTGAAGATTATAAGTTGATTCTTAAAAGTTCTAATCTATTGTAATATATTAGTGATCGTAATTTTTTATCAATCGTGGTAGGCCATTTTCCAACAAAATTAATGTTTCTTTTATTTCAAAAAAAAAATTTCTCATTTTTCAAATCAAGTTTGACAAAACTCAAGGAGAAAACAGGTATGTGTCCAAGTGTTCTAACAGATTATATCTGATCTCATCTGGATCACTTTTCTTCATTCTGAATATATATTGGGGGTTCACCTTTTTAGCTGAGTTACTTTGCATAAAATTTAGGCAAATAAATAACGCACAACGGAAGCATAGGACACAAATTTCATATGGACATAATATTTGATGTGGATCCTTTGAGTTCTCTTAATTGCTTAAACACAATTGAAGCAATAATTAATGTTGCCTTTTGCTAGCTAAAACAAGAAGTGAATACAATCAACATTTAAGGAATTGATATGCCTAATCTTTTCAGTATCTATTATCTTCTTCTTTTGTTTTTACCAATTCAAATTTTTTTTTTAAAAAAAGCCGTGCCAATTTTTAAACATCGAAAATAAAAATAATGCTAAACGAGGAAATTGAATGACAACCTAGTGGTTATTTTGCTATCTTTCCTGGTGATAGAGCGGGTCGATTCTCACCAGGAATTGTAAGGGGGCTTTTACCCACATTTAAGTGAGGTTTATTGGAGTGGACTTTTTTTTTATAAAAAAAATAATGCTAAACGAAACTTAATTTTACTTCACACGGTTTGTAAAAAAGGCTAAAATACCCCTCTTTCTTTTCCTTTTTTTTTTTACCATAAGATGTAGGACTTTCCTACAAAATACAAAAAAAAAAAAACCCGACAAATCACATATTCCATGGATGATAATAACTGATTAATGCATTGGAAACCATGTAATGCATAAAACTAACAAATCCACAAACTCTAACATCAAAATTTTAAGTAGCTTAATCTCTTCTGCGAATAATCCTTGTTTCATTTTAATGTCATGTTTTAGGAAATTGATACATACAGATCCCAATGGTTTGAGAACTTGCATTTAACAATAAAAAGATTAAAATTTACCTCTAATACATAATTAGTTCATTGATGAAAACTATTCAAAACTATGATGGATTTCATGTTTTTTTTTAAATTCACCCCAGTGGACCCCACTTAAATATAGGTAAAATTCTCTTTACAACTTCTGATGGGAATCAAACCCTAGTTCACTATTAGGAAAAACAGCAACTTAACCACTAGTCTGTCATTCAATTCCCTGATGGATTTCATGTTTATCACTACACATAAGAACATAAGATTAGTTTGCTTATTCTATTGTACTTCTATGCTTGCAACAAAGAAATGAGGGAGTTCTCCCCGCGTTTTTATTTGCATGACTCAATACAAAGGATTAATATGAAAAGGGTATTTGCCCGAGGATGAATAGCAAAAGAGTTCTTCGATTTTATAAAAATAGGCCAAAACATGCAAAAGAATTCTGAAGTATGAACACTCAACCCTAGAAAAACATTATTAAGTTATCAAGATCATATATAATGAAAAAGAAAAGGACAAAATTAAGTAATCAAGATTATATATAATGAAAAAGGAAAACAATTTTTTATTTTATTACCCATTAAGAGGTCAATTTTCAACTCCAACCCAACCTTGCATAAAACATTGACATTGACTTACTATGATTTGTTTTTTTTTTTTTTTGGGGGGGGGGGGGGGGGCACAAGATAATTTACCTTTCATGTAACTTTTGTCCTTAATATTAGTTATCCCAATGAATAAAACCATAGTCGTAAAAGTTTTCAATCAAATGGAAGACTAAAGCAAAATTTTGATTCATAAAGCTTCTTTGCCTATATAACATATTCAGAATCCGACTAATTTCAACATTTTCACCATTGATCATTACCGAAGAATTTTCACTTAAAAAAAAAAAAAGGAATCATTTAGACTTTCTCCCAACCACAGTTACAACTCTGGAACCATCAAAGTAAAGAAAGA